ATCGTAGAATTCTGTAGGAAGGTTCGGTAGACGGATCCAAACTGCCGTGTGGATTTGATTTTCATTAGAGGCTACAAAATTTGGTTTCCAACGTTGGCATGATAGGAAGTGGCCAAAGATAAACCACGGGCCATCTTGCAACACTGTTACCATACTTTCTTGTTTTTGGAATTTTGCAACATAATAATCTGCTCCTAGATCTATTAAGGGGAAGTTCTCCGAGACTCTCCAGAGATCCTGGACTTTCCTCTTAAGAATTTGATATAGAAGTCGTTTCCCTTATAGTTTGATGATAATGGAGTATTGCCATGGAATATACATCCTATTTTTATCTTCCTACGAGAGAGTTACTAGCCTTTCTTCCATTGATAGGTTTGGTTGTATTATTGGCAAGGTGGTATTACCAGGGTTTTCTTTCAGTGGTAGCACGGCAGCAACTAGATCTACCGTTCCACCTTCCGTAATTAATTTATCTTTAAAGGATGTTTTTTGATTATTAGGAGGTTGGGTATTGCAACCGTTTGAGATATCTGGAGGTTTTGGGGGAATCAATGATGATTCAATGTCCATATTCATTATTTGGAAAGGGTGAAAGTTTTCTCAGCAGTGGTTTGGGGAGCTTTTTTTTTCTAGAGAGAGAAAAAGCTCAGCAGTAACTGGTGCCCAACAAGAAGATACTGTAGTAATAATCAAGTGTGTCACACTTTTAAGTGAAGTGAATTGATACATGTTGGTTCAATTCCTCTTCCTTTTTTTGGTCCTGAAGTTTTCCCCTTTTCTTTTCGGGGGAAAAAAATCAGAAATAGCTAGATTTACAATTGGTAATTGAAAAATAGCTATAATTTTAAAAGTAATTAAAATTTAGCCACTTTTTTTATATAAAGATAAAATCTAAACAAAAACACCCTTAAAAATCCGAAAATTCTATCGTAATATGCTGGAGTTTGAATTCTATCGTAACATAATGTGCTAAAATTTTATTATGTGCTGGAAGTTTATACACAGGAGCTCCAATGTCCAGCATATTATGCTTGAACTTTCTGTGTGCTGGAGTTCCAACATAATATGCTGGAAGTTTATATGCAGAAACTCCATAATCCAACATATTATGCTGGAACTTTTCGTGTTTCAACAAAATAGTGGCTGTTTTTCTATGACTTTGCAAACGCTAGCTATTTCAGGGAATTTTTCATTCCTATACACTATTTGAAAATTTATTACCAAAAATGTCCAAGTTTTAGTATTTACCCGACCTAAACAAGTTTTAGCTACAAAAAATAAACATTCCACCTTAAAAGACTCCCTATCAATTATTAGTGCCTTCAATCAAGGGATTTAGGGTGTGTTTGGTATAACGGAAAATGTTTTCTTGAAAAACAAGTAGTAATCTTATTCATTTTCCGGTGTTTAGTACGCAAATTAAGAAAAATGACTTCTCATGAAGAGTATTCATAAATAATTTAGATTTTATAAACATGAAGCCATAAACTTTCAAACCAACAACCTTCCGAACCACATTTTTCATAAACTTTCGAACTGCTAAACTTTCGAAACCGCGAAATTTCTAACCCGTAAACTTTATAATTTCTAAACCCGAAAACTTTCAAACACATAAACCTCCGAACTCATAACTTTGGAACTTGTAAAATTTTGAACCTTTAAACCGATAAATAAAAAAGCAAAAAGTGAAAAATATATTAAAAAAATTTTTTTGGGGGGGGGGGGAGGGAGGGCAGGGGGCAGAAAAATGAATAAAACAGAATTTGAAACTACAAAAAAAAAGTAAATTCTTTTTTTGTGCGGGAAGGGGGGGGGGGAGTTGGGGGATGAGTGGTCTAGAAAACGAAAAACAGAAATTTGAAATTGCAATAAAAAAAATAAGGTAAAAAAAATAATATTTTTTGCGGGATGGGGATGGGGATGGGGGTGGGTGTGGAGTGGGGTGGGGTGGAGGGGTAGTAGGGTGGGTGGTAACGAAAAAACTGAAATTTGAAAAAAAAAAGCCTTTTTTGGAGAGAGGGGGTGAGGTGGGTTGGTGAGGGTAGGGAAGGTTGAGAAGGAGTTTTGAAAATGTTTTCCCTCCTCTTGATAAGGAAAATATTTTCCTCCAATTGGAGGAAAATGAGTTCATAAGGAAAATATTTTCCAATACATTTAAGCGAACCAAACATGGGAAAATTGGAAAATATTTTTCGGAAAATATTTTCCTTCATACCAAACACACCCTTAGTTATACGCTTTTTCCTTTTTTCTCTCCTCTCTCCCCTCTTCTCTCCAGATTGAACTTATATTTAGGGATTTCTGTTTGATAATTGTTTCGGTCTTGGTTTTATGTTTTGGCATTTTTTTAAATTAAATTGTCTCCTTTTATTAAAACTAGACAAAGAGTAAACTTGAGGGGTTAAAGCTCCTGGTTACATCTGAGAGCAACTATGGCATGAAATTATGTTTTCAAATAGACTGAACATGATGGAACAGTTCCTGAATCCTTAGCACCACATAAAGCTTTATCCAGTTCTAATGTACGGTTGCACGTCAAGTGCAACAAAATTTTCAGCTTGCACATTAATGACATTTTGTGTTACATCAATAAGATGTTGAATGATTCTGTATTTCTTGCATTTGGCATCATTTTGTAACGACCCGACCGGTCTTTTTGAGAATTTACGCCCGATCCCCTATTAACTGCTTTCCCCATATTTATTTCTGCTATAGTGGTTTGCCGAGAAGATTCATTTTGAGTTTCGGAGTGTTTTTGGGACACTTAGTCCCTAAATGAGAGCTTAAGCTTTAGAATTTGGACCGTAGAGGGTATAAACAATAGAGGCGCACGTTAACCGTTGCTCTCGGCGCACGATAGCAAGGTTTGCAATTGTGATCGGAATCAATGGCTCGTCGCCGGAAAACTGTGCATGATACTAATACGCAGTCGGAGAAGCTTATTACTCCAGCTAACGGTGTTCAAATGGAATTACCTCCACTCACATTTGGAAGTTTCCTTCCATAGAAATACCAGTCGATTGAGGAAGCTCATGAAACAAGCAGTTCTGAAGGAGATGTTCAACTTCAACCGGTTAAAGCGGAAGGAACAATGAATCCAGCAGTGAGACGATTCAGTATTCAGAAGCAAGTGGATCGGAGAAGCCAATTCCTACGGCAGCTGATATTGTACGAGGAAATCGCAGCTCACAAATGGGTAAACAATTATCATTTGTTCCTCCAATTGATAGAGATGGTAAGAAAATTGTCAAATTGAGTGAGGATGATTTGCAATCGCAGGCGGATTATTGGAAAACCTATCTAATTGGCTACACAATTGGAGAAAATCCTTATGAAAAAGCTATGGAAAATTTTGTACTGAATGTGTGGAATTTTGTTACTAAGCCTCAGATTCTGATTCATTCTGAGGGCTATTGTATTTTTAAATTTCACACCATAGCTGATAGAGATCAAGTCCTTCAGTCAGGTCCATACACTTACAGAAACAAACCTATGGTGCTAAGGCTATGGGAAATCGATTTCTCATTCAGTAGAGATATTTTAAGCACAATTCCAGTATGGGTGAGATTTCCTCGGCTACCAGTGGGGTATTGGTCGACTGAAGCCCTAAGTAAAATGGCTAGTGTAGTGGGAAAGCCATTATACACTGACAAATTTACTGCTCATTATGAGAAAATATCCTATGCTAGAGTACTTGTAGAGGTTGATGCTGCATATTCTCTGCTAGATCAGATAGAGATAGAATCACCTTATGGCTCTATGGTACAGATGATTGAATATGACCGGAAGCCTGTATTTTGTAATGACTGTTTGAATTTTGGGCATGACTCTATTGATTGTTGGCATAACACAAAGTGTGCTGAGGAGCAGGAGACTAAGGAAGGGGAAAGACCAAGGAGACAGAGAAGAAGAACAAACAAACAAGGCAAAACTGTTAAGCAAGCTTGGCTTGTAAAGAATCCCCAAGTAAATGTAGAATCAGTTCCTCAGGAAGGAATAGTGCTACAAGAGAAACCTACTCATGAAAGTGTTTGCTTGGAGAAGGGTAGTGGAAGTATAGAGAGTACACAGCAACTTGTTTCTTTGCCATGTCGAGCAAGAGACGGGACAAATACAAATGAGATTATCTGCAGCAAAACTGTGATGGAAGGAAATATTGACAAGGGCAAGACAATTGCTGAGATCAAGGATGATGGGAGAAGAGGACAACAGATAGATCCAAGGCCATCATTCCCCCTAATTTCCAATTCTCTATGATTATTGTCACTTGGAACATTAGGGGTCTAAATCAAGCCCATAAGCAAACAGAGGTCAAGACTCTTCTAGCTACAAATAAAGTAGATGTAATGGGATGTATAGAAACTAGAGTTAAGAAGCATAAAGCAAAGAAGATTCAAAAAAAGTTTGTCAAGGGATGGAATGTATGCTGAAATTATTCATATGTTGTGAATGGGAGAATTTGGATTTTTTGGAGAGCTCATATTCAAGTACAGATTACCCATATGACAGGTCAGTTCATCCATTGCTATATTGAATATACTAGCACTCAATTTAAAACACACCTTAGTATTATCTATGCTCAGAATGATAGTCACCAAAGGGAGAATCCATGGAGGGATCTTAGGCAGATAAATATACCAACCCAGGAAACATGGCTGCTCAGTGGAGATTTCAATAATGTTCTATCCTCTGAGGATAGAATAGGATCCCCTGTAATTGCTGCTGAAATACAGGGATTTAAAGATGTGATTGATAATCTACAACTTACCCCACTTAGAGCTAAAGGTTGGCATTACACTTGGACAAATAAGCAAGGTACTGGTTCTAGGGTGTATAGCAAGATAGACTGGGCATTGGGCAACTATCAGTGAATTCAGCAGCATGGTCATGTCGAAGCTGATTTTTTGAATCCATCAGTTTCTGATCATTCCCGTATTTTAATCAAATGTGGTAGGCAGAAGTTATTGCATCCTAAACCATTCAGGTTGTATACAAACATCATGGAGCTTCCACAATTTCAGAGCATTATTCAGCAAGTGTGGAACCAGTGCTATGATGGAGCACCTATGCAACAGATTTGGTGTAAACTGAAGAATATGAAGGAACAACTGAAGGAGATAAATGCCTATATGGCTTCATACAAACAGAGTCTTGAGCAGGCAAGAGAGAAATTGGATATTATACAGAGTCAAATGAAGCAGGATCTTTTGGCACAGGCCCCTTTTAATGAAGAGAAAGCAGCATTAGATGAAATTGAGATGTGGAGTAATGTGGAGGAACAAGTAATGAGGCAGAAGTCCAAGGCTTGCTGGATTGAATGTGGAGATGCCAATACAAAGTATTTTCATGCTCAATGGAAGATTAGATCCATCCAAAATAGTATAACATCCATTTATACTGATACCGGTATGAAACTAACAGAGCCCAAATTAGTTGAGCAGGAATTCATCAGTGTGTTTCAGTCTTTGATGGGAGATTCTTCTACTGAGTTGCCATGTGCAAACACAACTATAGTTAAGGAAGGGCCATTCTTAACTATATCATAGCAAAGAACTTTAATTTAGAATGTTACAATTGAGGAGATCACAGAAGCAGTAAGGGAGATGCCTAAAGACAAAGCACCAGGGGTTGATGGGTTCCCTGTGGAGTTCTTTACCAGAAACTGGGAGATAGTGAAAGATGATATATTTGTAGCTGTTAAGGATTTTTTTTTCTACCAACAGATTGCCTGGAATGATTAATACAACAGCTATTACACTAGTCCCTAAAGTGAAAGCACCAGCAACAATTTAACATTATAGGCCCATTGCATGTTGTACTACACTGTACAAGATCATATCCAAAGTCATTACAAGGACGATGAAAAGTGTGCTTGATGGTTTGATAGGTCAGTCTCAGTCAGCATTCATTGAAGGAAGAAGCATAGTTGATAATATTCTGCTTAGCCATGAATTGTTCAAAGGATATACCAGAAAAGGAGTTTCTCCTAGATGTGTGATGAAGGTGGATTTAAGAAAAGCTTATGATACTCTGGAATGGAGTTTTCTTAGGCAAATGCTTATTGATCTTGGGTTTCCTTTTAACTTTGTACAGTGGATAATGACTTGTGTTACCACTGTATCACATTCCTTGGTCCTAAATGGTGGTTTGACAAAGCCTTTCAAAGGCAAAAGAGGGATTAGACAAGGAGACCCAATATCTCCATACTTGTTTGTTATTGCTATGGAATACTTGAGTAGAGAACTGGGGCAGTTGCATAAGAATGATAATTTTAACTTCCATCCTAAGTGTAGGAAGTTAAACAGCACACACATATGCTTTGCTGATGACTTACTAATGTATTGTAGAGCTGACTTTGAATCCATAAAGATCCTAAATGATTCTTTTCACAGATTCTCAGATGTTTCTGGCTTACAGGCTAATGTTAGTAAATGTGCAATATATATGGCTGGGATAGCTCAAGCTGCTAGAGAAGAAATACTTGGAACTTTGGGGTTCACTGAAGGAAAGCTCCCTTTCAAATACTTGGGAATTCCTTTAGACTCTAAGAAGTTAGTTGTCTATCAATACTTGCCTCTGATTGAGAAGATAACAGCAAAAGTTACATGTTGGTCAGCTGTCACGACCCGGATTTCCCATCCTCGGAAGTCGTGATGGCGCCTACTAATGAGAGCTAGGCAAGCCAACCCTTAATTACCTTTGTCATTAACCAATTTACCTCTTTTAACAATTATCAATAATATCATAAAAACAGCGGAATAAAATAAATAAGCGGAAGTCTTAAATTAAAGAATTTGAACAACAATGCAGAAAATCAACATAAACCTCTACCCAAGAGCTGGTGTCACATACTCACAAACAACTAAGAGTGCTAAATACAACCGTTTGAAAGAAAATATAACTGTTTGTCTCGAAATACATGAGATAACAGACTGAAATAAAAGATAGAAGAGACGCCGGGCCTGCGAACGCCTGCAAGGCTACCTCGGTGTCTCGCTGGACTGAAGGCTAACTCCCGCGCTACTGCAGCTGCTGTCCAACACCTGGATCTGTGCAAAAGAGCACAGAGTGTAGCATCAGCACAACCGACCCCATGTGCTGGTAAGTGTCTGGACTAACCCCGGCGAGGTAGTGACGAGGCTAGTACCAGACTCCAGACAAATCTGTGCAGTTATATAATATATTGCAGAAAAATAAACAAGTAATGAGCAGTTATAAGGGAGGGGATACTTGCCTCGGGGAAACAGTTCAACTTAGCAGAAACTGAATTAAATACGAAGGAACAGTACAATGTCCAAAACAATATGATAGCACTTCTGTTGCGGCGCGCAACTCGACCCGTACGTATAAATATAACTGTTGCAGCGTGCAACCCGATCCACTAATTATAATATACACCTGTTGCGGCGTGTAAACCGACCCAATACAATATATGTTGCGGCGTGCAACCCGACCCAATACAATATATGTTGCGGCATGCAACCCGATCCAATATAACGTATGTTGCGGCGCGCAACCCGTTCCAAATATACATAGCATACAGTAATCATAACCACAAATCCCGGCAGGGGGATTAATCATAAAATACTCTATCCCGGCAAGGGAACTCAACAGTACAAGTATACTCCTCCCGACAAGGGAGAACCAGCTATAACCAATCTCAATTCGAAATTCAACATTTCTATTATCACCATTTCTAACTCATGATTAACTTCCACGAAAATAAGCTAAGCCTTTGCTCAATATCACAAGTCTACTCACTATTTCATCCATAGTATTACTCAAGAACACAAAATGTCAATTTAAGACTCACGGTCATGCTCGACACCGACGTATAGATACTCGTCACCATGCCTATACGTCGTACTCCACAAGAAACACATAACAAATATGACTCAACTCCTAATCCCTCAAGCTAAGGTTAAACCGAACACTTACCTCAATGCTTTGAATTCAACTCAAGTCTCAATTATGGCTTTACCCCTCGATTCCACCGCCAATCCGCTCGAATCTAGTCACAAGTTACTGAATTACATTAATAAATGCTAAATGAATCAATTTGAATGTATAAAATGAATTTCCCAAAGTTTTACCCAAAAATTCCAAAATTGCCCCCGAGGCCACGTGGTCAAAACCCGAGGTTCGAACCAAAACCCGGCTACCCATTCCCCTACGAACCCAAATATATGATTTGTTTTGAAATCGGACCTCAAATTGAGGTCCAAATCCCCAATTTTTAGAAAAACCTAGGTTCTACCCAAACCCCCAATTTCTCCCATGAAAATCTTTGATTTTAAGTTGAAAACATGTTAAATGATGTTAATGATTGAAAGAAATGAGTAAAAATCAACTTACAATTAATTTGGAAGAAAACTTGTTCTTGAAAAATCGCCCCAAGAAGTTTGTGTGTTGAAAATGGTTCAAAATTCGGCTAAGTGTAAAATATGCAGGTTGCAGATATGGGATTTGCGAACTGGGGTTCGCAATTGCGAACCCCGACCTGATGTGGGAATTGCGAAGGCAAGTTCGCATTTGCGAACACTGGGCAAAGGGAGGGACTTCGCATTTGCGACCAAGAGAGTCGCATTTGCGAAAGTCCCAGTATCGCATTTGCGAGCCAAGACGTCGCATTTGCGACAGGCTCCACTTCGCATTTGCGGACCAAATGGTCGCATTTGCGACCCAGCTGCAGGATCCCCTATCTCGCATTTGCGATCCCAGGATTGCATTTGCGAGCTCGCATTTGCGAGACCTTCTTCGCAAATGCGAAGATTGCAGAACTGAAATGCCAGATTTTTCTCAAAGGTACAAAATGCACTCACGGCCTATCCAAAACTCACCCGAGCCCTCGGGGCTCCAAACCAAACATACACACAACCTCAAAAATATCCTACGGACTTATTCGTGCGATCAAATCGCTAATATAACATCATATACATCGAATTAAGCCTCAAAATTCATGATTTCTTCCAAATTTCATAAAACATCAAACTTTCCATTTTAAGTCCGAAACACGTCAAACGACCTCCGTTTTCAACCAAACTTTACTGAAAGTGCTTAAGCCATATATAAGACCTGTACCGGGCACCGGAACCAAAATACGGGCCTGATACCATCACTTTCCAATCAGTTTTCATTTCCAATTTCCTTAAATATTTTCAGAAAATAATTTTACTCAAAAATTCATTTCTCGGGCTTGGGACCTCGGAATTCGATTCGGGGCATACGCCTAAGTCCCATATTTTCCTACGGACCCTCCGGGACCGTCAAATCACGGGTCCGGGTCCGTTTACCCAAAATGTTGACCGAAGTCAAATTTATTCATTTTAACACCAAAATTTAGCATATTTCACAGAATTTCATATTTAAGCTTTCCGACTACGCGCCCGGACTGCGCACGCAAATTGGGGCGACTCTAAATGAGGTTTTCAAGGCCTTGAAAGCACAGAATTAATTTAAAACAGGTGATGACCCTTTGGGTCGTCACATTCTCCACCTCTAAAACAACCGTTCGTCCTCGAACGGACAGAAGAAAGAAGTACCTGAGTCGGGAAAAAGATGAGGATAACGGCTCCGCATATCGGACTCGGACTCCCAGGTCGATGCCTCAGGATGCTGACCTCTCCACTGAACACGAACAGAAGAAAAACTCTTGGACCTCAACTGACGAACCTGCCGGTCTAGAATAGCTACCGGCTCCTCCTCATAAGACAAGTCCTTGTCCAACTGGACAGTGCTGAAATCTAACACGTGGGCTAGATCGCCGTGATACCTCCGAAGCATGGACACATGAAACATAGGATGTACGGCTGATAAGCTCGGCGGCAAAGCAAGTCTATAAGCCACCCTTCCCACTCGATCAAGAATCCCAAACGGACCAATGAACCTAGGGCTAAGCTTGCCCTTCTTCCCAAACCTCATTACGCTCTTCATAGGCGACACTCGGAGCAATACCCGCTCACCAACCATAAATGCCACATCTCGAACCTTGCGGTCTGCATAACTCTTTTGCCTAGACTGAGCTGAACGAAGCCTATCCTGAATGATCTTGACCTTGTCCAAGGCCTCCTGAACCAGATCCGTACCCAACAACCGAGCCTCTCCCGGCTCAAACCATCCAACCGGAGACCGACACCGCCTACCATATAAGGCCTCATAAGGAGCCATCTGAATGCTCGACTGGTAGCTGTTGTTGTAGGCGAACTCCGCTAAAGGCAAGAACTGATCCCATGAACCTCCAAAGTCAATAACACAAGCTCGGAGCATATCCTCTAAGATCTGAATAGTCCGCTTGGACTGACCGTCCGTCTGGGGATGAAATGCTGTGCTCAATTTAACCCGTGTGCCCAACTCTCGCTGAACTGCTCTCCAGAAGCGCGAGGTAAACTGCGTACCTCGGTCCGAAATGATCGATACGGGCACATCATGAAGGCGAACAATCTCCCGAATGTAAATCTCAGCCAACCTCTCAGAAGAATAGGAGACTGCCACAAGAATGAAATGTGCTGACTTGGTCAGTCTATCAACAATAACCCATATCGCATCGAACTTCTTCCGAGTCAGCGGAAGTCCAGTAACAAAATCCATAGTAATCCGCTCCCACTTCCACTCGGGAAGCTCAATCCGCTGAAATACACTACCAGGCCTCTGATGCTCGTACTTAACCTGCTGACAATTCATACAACGAGCCACATATGCTACAATATCCTTCTTTATTCTACGCCACCAGTAATGCTGCCGC